GTGGGTGCAGTGATAGAAGTTTTAAGCTCCAGTCACACTTGAAATTTGTGCCCAGTCTAAATCTCCGGCTTTGGGTTTACAGACTTGACGTGTCTCTTACTGAGAGTGTCCACAGAGCAGTAGGGCTGTCCAATTCTATCAGTCATGTAGCCTTAAGGGGGATAATGCAGACTTTTAGGGAATTTCTAGTTAGTCCACCAAAGATACAGGCTTTAGCAGACTTTGTTTATGGAAATTACTATAAATTCACAAAATTCGCGGCTAAGTGCTTGCGGCGATGTAAACAAGCAGTTCCAAAATTTAAATAAAAAATAGACTAATTGAAATTGCAAATGTGCAGATTTTAGTGTCGATGCCATGGAAGTGGTGCTGGATCCTGGCTAGTTTGAGATGGCTAGAAAGCTTGCTAACTCACCAACCATGAAGTAAGTGTACCATCTGATGCCACCTCTCAACTGACTGCATGACATGCTACCTCATTTTTAGGTGTTCATTTAAAGCCAGTTAGGAAGAAATACAAAAAAGTGATATACATTGACATACCTGATAGTTCTTTCTTCATTTTGGAATATTACTGCTTTGCAAAGCATCAGCACTTCAGAGATCAATACAGCCAAAGCAGTTGTGCTAATGGCTGACGATGCTAATTCACGTCACCAAAGTCAATGCGACGTTTTGCACACACAATTCATTAATTCTGGAAATCTGTGACGCAGAAGCATTTAATGCAGCAAATCCCATTAAAATGACTGAAATTTTGATGACAGAAGCTAATGTGACGGGCTGTGCAGACCTCAGTGATGGCTGACCGCCATCTTTTTCATATTACTCTCTTCTTCTCCAAATGGTTAGACAAAATAATGGAAAAAAGAGAATAAATATGTTGTCTGTGAGTGCGTCTGTTAAAGTTATGTTGTTTTGTGTGTGAAGAATGAGCTGAGAGTGGTAGCTTTGGTATGAGTGTGTTTGAGCATATAGTGGGAAGAACTGAACATGAAAGGATGAAATCACTTTTTTTCAGCCGTGTAATGAGCGAACACAGCCATAAAAAGCGAATTCAAATGCTAAGTTTTTCATCATGACAACAGATTAATGAGGGTCACTGGTTCTCAGACTGCTAAGCAGGGCTGTCTGGCTGTCCCTCTTTTACTCTCTCTCTCTCTTGCTCACTCACTTTTTGCATCATCTGTCATTACTGTGGTGGGCCTCTCTGAGGATATTCTGCTGCTGTTTCAGAAAGAAAATCAAAAAGAAAATGGATGAAAGTCTCTCTCTCTCTCTCTCTCTCTCTCTCTCTCTCTCTCACTCTCTCTTCCCCTTGTCTTTCTCTTCTTTTACTGTTTTTTTCTCTCTCTCTCTTCTTTCTTGCTCTTTCACTCTTCTTTCTTGCCTTTTTCTATTTCTCTCTTTCCATCTCCCTCCCTCCTTGTGCACGCTCTCTCTGTCTCTGTCTCTGTCTTGCCTTTCTTTCTGTCCTCTCCCTCTCTCTCTCTCTCTCTCTGTCTCTCTCTCTCTCATTCTTTCATTCTTTCATTCTCTCATTTTCATTGTTACATGGCTCAGACAGTCATGATACATTCTATGTGAGTAGCTGAAATACTGACCCCTGAGGTCGTCTTAACTTTGTGCGTATTGGACAGATATACAGCATAGTACAGTCAGCCTCTCGGCACCTGCAGCACGAGAAAACACTCATTTCCTGTTGTACTTTTCACTAAGACAAGTTCATTTTCTTTCGTGTGTGTGTATGTGTGTGTGTGTGTGTGCGTGTGTGCATTTTTTATATGCTGTGAACTCTTCAGGCCATCCAAATAAGAGGCTCTGCGAGTAGCATTTTACTGTTCTTAAAGAACTCCAGAATGTGGTCTGAGTTGTAAATCTCTCTCGCGCTCTTTCTGGCCACTTGTCATCCATTGGCGGATGGGAGTGAGGCGTAAGGCCAACAGGGCCAGACTGGAAGCCAGGCATGGGCAGGTTTCCCATGCAGAAAGAACAGCCTCCAGAGATACACTATAGGTCCTAAACTATCCAGACGCCCCTCGTAATTAGTAAATTCAGCTTCTTTGTAGTGCATGTATTGCTGATGCAAGTGATGAGTTGCTCTCACAGTTTACCAACTGTCTTTGAAATGGATGTGGAGGAGATAGAGTACCGTCCAGTATCTTTGGGTTGAGTTGGAGTGTTGTTTGTGATCCAGAACTTGGTCATCTAACATCAGTGACTGACCTCACTAGTGCTGTTATGGCTGAATGCAGTTAATGTTCCAACATGTAGCATAAAGCTCTCCCAGAAGACTAGAGGCTGTTACCGCAGCAAAGAAGGACAAACTTGTTCTTAGTACTAAGTCTGCAACTATCAATTATCTTTATTTTCGACTATTCTGTTGAGTAACAACTAGTGTCAAGAACAAATATTGTCAAAGTACGTAGCATAAAATTCTATAGGGATCCTGCCCAATCTGGCAACCATAACGGGTTTCCTGAGATGGTTTTGAATGTGTCAGAGATGAGCAAGTACAGGAGAGCAGAGGAAACTACGTCTTTTTAACCAGTGTCCTAAAAACTGAAACAGGATTGTGACCTTTTTTCTGCTCAAAAATCACTTTACCTGAACATGTGATAAAATCTGAAGCAGGGAAACGGATGCTTTTATAAAAAAAATGAGCAATGGTACCAGTTATTCAAATAGATTTCCCCCTTTCTAATACTTTATCATATGCATCTACTTTGGCTGGATATTCGTTGCAGTAAAACCTTTGATTTCAGAAGACAAACCATTGGACATAGTGTACATTTAAATGGCTTGACCTGTTCCTTTAATTTTCTGCCTTTACAGCTGTTGTTGTTGGTCTTTGTTTTTGTTGTTGTTTTTTGTATAAACCCTGGTTTGGATGCCCTCTGCCCTTTCAGTTCTAGCAGCCTCTGTAATTAGAGCTGTGCTGTTTGCCCAGTGTTGCTGACCCATGCTGCTGTGAATATGGACTCAATGCCACTAGGCTGCTCTCACCAGTCTGTTGCGCTAAAGCCGGGGTATTGAAGTCTACAAAACACTGTTATTTTCTGGAGGCCTTTGGGAAGTGTAGGCGTGTGAAAGGGAAGAAGCACTCCACAGCACTGCATTCCTCACTGTAAACTCAGCCGGCCAACCAACAATGCACAGACTCTTTTATGGGAGTCTCAAATACATCAATTCGATGTTGACTGCGAGGCTGCAGGCTTGTCTGAGATGGTGTGTCTACACACAGTACTCTGCCCTTTTTTTTCCAAAATTGCTGTGCTTGTTGGGGAATAGAACTTAACTGAATTTATAGCAGCAGTGAACAGGGTCAAGGGTGTTAGAATCTGCAAGCATGCTAACTCAGTATGCCTAGGTCCTGGAAGTACACTGATTGAAAGAAAGAACCTAAATCCACAATTGTTGGCACCCCTTTTTAATACTTTGAGTAGCCTCCCTTTGCAAAGATAACAGGTCTGAGTCTTCTCCTATAATGATTAATGAGACTAGAGAACACGTGGCAAAGGATCTGAGACTATTCCTCCATACAGAATCTCTTTTGAATCGCTTGAGTTTGTTGGTCCTTGACAGCAGAGGCTTTCTTCTGGCAACACTCTGAAACAACTTGTGGTTTTGTAGGTCATGTTTGATTGCAGTTTGGTAGACACTGTGACCCCAAGACCTAACTAATGTCTGCAGCTGTGATGCTTGGAGATTCTTTGGCCTCTTCTTGGTAGATTTGTAACATCTCCAGTTGCTTGAACCTTCTTAATTATTGCCCTGATTTTCTTCTAGCCATTTCCTGATGTGAACAACCTTTTGTTACACATCATTGCTGTGTTCTCTGGTCCTTCTCATAGTGATGGATGACTGAGGGAATTTGGTCTGTTGCTCACTTCTTATTTATACCCCAGTGAAACAGGAAGTCATAGCTGACCATTTAAGTGATCTTAATTAAAACATGAATGGGAGCATATTTCATGATAAGATGATAAGATTTAGTTTTTTTTTTTTTCTCAATCATTGTTCTTCAAATAAAGGTTGGATTTTGTTAATATTTTGAATGAAAGATTGAAAGAATAAGCAATAAAGAATAATTTTTACAGCTTTGTTTTGCTTATGTTTACCAGCAGTGCCTATGCTTGAGGAGGGCACTGTAGCCTTAAAACTAAATCGTATGTTTTAGTGTAAGCATAAGGGTCTGAGCTCAGCTTCCTTGTTTTTCTAAAGAATATGTAAACATATAGCAGAGTTTAGATGTGGCCTCATGCTCAGAGATGATTGATAAATATCCCCCATTGTGGTTTACCTACTTTCTGGCACTGCACTATGTGGCATGCTAGCCAGTGGTTGACTTTCACCTACTGTACAGATTTAACTGTTAACTGTTGAGCGGAGATGGTCTGGACTTGCTTTAGTGAAGTCAGTCATGTGTCCACCCCCAAGTCCAGTGCCAGATCCAACCTCGCCAGTGTTCCATTTCTACGCAGATTAATAGGAAGCCATACCTGCCCTGTGTGTTAGAAGGAAGGCGAAAACATCGGACAGCAGTGTAATGAAACTTTGGGGAATTGTTTCACAGCTCCAGTTGTGAGTCCCTGGAAAAACAGGAAGTAGCCAGACAAAAGCAGGAAGTGAGGTGTAGCCTGGGAGAAGTCATTGCTCTTTCCCCTCAGATTGACTCTCACTCATGTAGCCTCCCATGTGTGATTCTGTGTGAGATTTTTAAGAGAGACTTGGAGTCAATTAACACCCCTTTTGTGAACCAAAGACAGACTTCAGGTAACTTTTATGCAGAAATGGATTTTCTTCAGATGGTGAAAGAATGGCACGTTTTTATCAGAAAAGTTTTCTGATTATCTATTGTTTTCACATTAATAGGTCAAGTCTTTTAAAGACTGCATTTTATTAGAGATCATATTTGCCCTCGTCAAGAACATAGTCTTCCCAACGACCTCCATGAGAGTGTGAGTGAGCGTAATGTATTTCCTGTATTTCCTCTGCAGGTCTGTATGAGCTGCTGTCAGTGTTGCCCTCTCAGCTGCAGGCTCATGTGGAGAGTGCAGATGACCGCTCCTTTCTACACGCCATGTTCGGGGAGAGGAGCCTGCACTCACTTGTTAAGGTGAGTGTGTTTGCATATTTTATGAATATTTGTGCTGGCACAAGAAGGTTGCTGCATACAGATAACAGGAAGTAGTAGTTTTCCAGTAAAAGTGATTAGTTGAGGTGCTAAGCGCTTTAGAATAAGTGATAGAAAAGACTAATTTCATTGTCAGTCTGAGAGCTAGCCATAGCTAAGAACATTCTGATCCTGGCTCAGATGTAGGGTCATTCGCAATAAGCTTGAGTGACAGCATTTTGTTGTTATTGAAGCAAAATTTTGTCATTAATGTCCTCTGTATGAATTTGAAATTGCCATATATATTTAAAATTGTGCTTAACAGTTTTTTTTATGTGGGATAAAAAACAAAACACGGAACATAATAAACATAACAAACAGCATTCCTTATTGCATTATCCAGTACTATTAACCAAAGCAGAAATAATAATAAGAAGAACAATATAGATGATTCTAGCAGCAGCAGCAACACTAACAACAACAATTGACACCCAGTAGGTTACCCATGACAGTGATAGCTGGTCTGTTCAAGGCCATCAGATTCATAATAATAATTTACTGTATTTAAATTCAGTGATTTGAAGAGCTCAAAGCCCTTTACACACACACACTCATTAAAATACATGCAAAATGTAAATAAATGTTGATATCCATAATTAAAAGCTATTATAGACATGATAAATCAGTTATCTAGCAACAATGTGCATCTTTAGTAAGAGATGTTTGTACAAGAGACTTCAGTGCTGCTCAGATGTTATCAGGGAGCTGATTCCACAAGAGTGGAGGAGGAAAGGAGTACTACTGGCAATCCAAAGTTAGCTGAACAGAGGGAGCCAGACCTTATAAGTAATCTGGTGGGTAGCCAGTGCAGATCTTTGAGTATAGGTTTGATATGGCGCATGGAGGTAGATGTAAGCAGCCATGCAGCTGCATTTTGCACAAGTTGAAGGTAATTCACTGTGTGGAATGGGAGGTCAAAAAGGACAGCATTATAGCAAATGACAGGTGAGATGTATAAGGTGCTCTGCACTTACAAATGTAAGATGTGAGTGAATATGGGCAATGTTTCTCAAATGTAAGAATGCAGTCTCTCTCATTTTTTTAACATGAGTCAAACAAAAGTGTTGTGATACAACTCAGATTGTTAAACTGTATAGATGCAGTAACAGACAGGAAAATATAGCGAGCAGAGTTAGTAATAAGCCAGGGGCCAATCAGAATTACTTACTGAATCTCAGAATTACTTTTTTCCATAGTTAAGGTTAAGGAAAGTACTATAGAGCCATAATGTAATACTCTGCAAACAGTTGTCACGTGTATTCAAAGTAGATGGGCTATTAGGCTTTGCACAGTGTCGTCTGATTGGATGGATTGCTGACCCTTTATATGTGACTATTTTATAATAAATGAAACTTTTATAAATGGCCCAAAATTACTTGGAAGAAAATTTGTATTACGTTAATTTACAAGTTAATAAGTTTTTCCCCCTCCTTTAAAGTTACTATCTTGGATGTTGAGGTTTTGCTCTGACAGTGACTATTTGGATTCGTTTCAGAGGTTTGTGCATCAAACATAAAGAAATACACCAGCAATGTTTTCCTTTTGCATTTTCTGCTAATAATGCTAGACACTGATATCTGGATGGATCAGGGCCTTCTCTATGGAAAAACACTGAAATGTTCCTTCAATTTGCAGACTTTTTTCAGTACATCTAATGCAGAATGGAATTACGCTTAGTATTGCTGCACCTTCACCCTCTCTGTCTCGCTCTCCTTTTAGTTAGAGTCTGCGTTTGTTTGAGCTCCAGGTTTTAGTGTGCTAGCTGAGCGTGTAAAGACTGGAGCTGTGGTGAAGAGCTCTACTGGCTGTGTAAAAACCAGCACTTTGACCACATCAGGCCTCCAAATGCTCCTCTGGCTGCATTAGTTCTGCATGGAGCTTGTTTGCAGCGTACATTCACATTCTGATGCTAATCAATCAATACAGAGGCTTAATAACATTGGCCTCCTTGATGTACTCTTAAGATTACGTTCTGGTTGTTTCATCAGAAATGAAGGCATGTAATGCATGCACAGTCATGATCTGTTTTCATTTACTCCACTCCCTTATGTGGACATAGGCTTAATGATCCTGTCAGTATAATTTGAACAAGGACATTTTTTCCCCTTTTTTTAATAGGTGACTGGTTTCAGGATGTCTCTGAAATGAAAGCAGTAATATGGAATGCTGAAGTCTGACATTTTGGCAAAGAACCATGCTTCACTTTTTTGCAGTGCAGTAAATACATTAGGATGTTTTTAAAACAAGGCAAAACAGAAATTATCAGATGTTTTTGACAATTAATGGAATAGAGCATTTGTTCTTGTACAGAACCCAAAAGAGACATATAGACTTGTTAATTTTTAAATTTAAATTTTTATTTTTGAGTACCTACAATACACGTCATCCTCTTGCTTTACCTCTCAGAGTCTGTTTCTTTTCCTCTTTCTCACTCTTTCTCTCTGTCTTAAACATCTGGGCAATTTAAAGGGTTAAAGCCTAATAAGTGTCTTTCAGTTGGGTTCCAGAGGAACAGTGTCCTCCCAACTATGAAACTATGCAAAAATATGTTCTCATTCCACCTAGATGGAACTATCTGTTTCTCTTCATTGCTTCTGTCTAATTTGCTTCTGATTTTGTTATTTGTTTCTTCTTTTTTGCTAAATTTCCTCACTTTATCTCTTTTATTAACTGATTTAGGGTAGGGCTCTTTGGTTCATGTTCTTTTTTTATCACATCTGTTGGGGTGTTCTCCTCAGGGGAAAGCTGATTTGTGTGATAGTTTTATTGTTTAGTGTTAAGTAAATCAGTGGCATGGCAAAGGTGTAACTTCAATCACAGACACTCTGCCTCTCTTTCTTTCTTTAATTCTTGCTTTCTTCAGTGCTTGCCCTTTTTACCCACTCACTCTTCCCTTTGTTTACATCTTCTCTTGCTTCTTGCTTACTCGCCAGTGGATTATTTCTTTAAGATTTTTTATTTTCTTGTGAGAGAATTTTGTTTGATAGAGAATAGCATGATTTTTTTCCTTAATATGATGCATTTAGTTTTAAATTTAAATAAAAGTCATAATATACTGTGACCGGTAGGTTCTTATGGCTTGAGCAAGTGCATAAACTGTCAAATGTCAACAACGCTTTTTTAAAATGGCACTCAGAACTAATAGAAAAGCAAAAGTTGGGCTCAAACAGCTGCATTTGCCTTGCCTTCAAAAAACATATTTGAATCATAGAAAGGCGCAGTTCTTGCTTTTTATTAAACCTTATTTATTTTTTATGTTGCAATCATGATGTTCTGAAACTATTGTAACTATTTGTTTGATATCTTTCTGTGAAAGAGCTGTTAGAGGCATTAAACGCTTCAGATGTCTGGTTCCTATCACCTCCACTGTGAACAATTCTGACTTATTTAGGTGCTCTAGAATAGAGCACTTCAAAGCATTCTTAATGACTTTGTTTACATTTTAACAATCTAATTATGAAAAAGCTTTTAAAAATTGTGGAAAATTGTGGAATTTCTCTTTACATCATCAGTTACTCTAACTGATATTTACACATTAAATGTTTTGGCCAATAAATTGGGTGGAAAAGGCGACACACCACAGCATTTTCATTATATCTGCATTTTTGGGGACGTGTACATTTTATCCATAGACAATCATTTATTTGATAGCATAAAGAGGGAGTGCTGATATGGCAACCAAGTGGCTTGATGTCTCTATATGAAGAGTTTCATGCCAAAGTGCTGTATATCTATTTATAACAATGGTGGATATAAAGAAGTTTGCATTTGAAGTATGCATTTGTATGCCTGTTATAATGGTAGTGTTATGTTTTGGAACTTGGAATGATGTCATCAACTACACGACTGTAAAATATATATATATATATATATATATATATATATTATATATATATATATATATATATATATATATATATATACATCCATCTTCTTATATATAACACTGGGTGCTGCACATGTACTGTATTCTGCAGTGTGATATTTTGGTTCAGATTCATTGTGAGTTGCCGTAAAGTTGGCCTGTGCTCAGTAAGTGCTCCATGTTCAGCCTTTTCACAGAGATAAAGTGAGTGTGACAGGCAGGACAGACAGCATGGCCCCTGCTCTATGACTGTGGTGCAATGCGTTCCCTGTGCAATTACAGCAGGGTTTTATTCCAGAGCTCCTCTGCTGTGATCCTTCGCCAAACTGCCACTCTGCACAGTTCTACAGGAAATCCAACACAACCTGCAATTTCCACCTGGGTTAGGTGTGCAACACAGTCCAGTGTTCTGCTATGTCCTGTGTGTGTGTGTGTGTGTGCACGTGCGTGCGTGCATGCAGGACAGAGAGAGAGAGAATCTTTTTTAATTGGTTACTTTTGGTAGATAATGGTTCCTTGTTCAATAGTCTCTTGTGTTTGATCAGTATATTCATGCCACCTATATTTCTTGGTTTCCGGTCCTAATATGTCTTAACTTCAAGTCCAGAAGGAGATCCTGAAGAGGAAATTGCTGGGAACCCTCATCTATTTTATCATGGATCATGTGTACTCATATTAATACTCGTATGCCTGACACATTGTATGTGTTCAGTGCAATAAACGTCCTGTTCGTGTTTGGCATGCAGCAGTAAGACTGGCTCTTACTACTTGCGCTTAATGCCTTAGTGGCTTTAGTGATTTGTAGTTATTAATTCAGGAGTCCAGACGGAGTCCTGACTGCCTTTACCTCGCCTTTAGAAGATTTGATCTCATACCTATGAGTTCAATGAGCTGCTCACACTGCTTATTTAAGCATGTTTCACACAGTACACTCAAGTAAAGAAAATGATTTGACCATTTCTTAATTCATTTATTCTACTCCAAGGTAATATGTGTGAAACAGACCTTACACAAGTGCTAGAAAATGCATTCTGCATTACTTTACATACAGGAAGTTTAGAATCACACATTGTGCAAA